CCAAGGGGGCAGCTCAGCAGAAACGTACTGGGTGGTGGCAAACAAGCTTGATATAGCTGCCTTACTCAACTTACAGAAAAGTCAGGATGACCAACCCCAAATCTCACTACAATAATAGAAGGGGATTTCTAGTCTCTACCGTAAGTGGACCTTCTCAGCAAGAGTGATTGAATAACCAGGCCCGCAAAATGAAAGGTTTGCAAATCAATCTTTACTGAGTTGCAGAACTCAGGACCTCAGCATTTACTATACAGGAAGAGGTCCTGCTTGAAGTAGCAAACACCTCTTTGGCTCTGCCTTGCTAGGAAGCTTGGTTCTCCATGTGTATCTGATCAGCTCCAAACTCTGGGTGACCCCTCCTGTTACATCTCTTGGAGCATCGTAACCCTTCTGTGAAACTGGTCATTAGTGTGATCCCCATCAACAGGACTCCAATCCCCTTCAGTACTGACAAGCATGATGACATTTTCAGTCCAACAGTAACTGGAAGGCCATACATTCTCCATCCCACCATTCCAAATAACTAAACTGAGGAGGGGTGAATTTGAAAGGTTAAGAATCCTTTTTGCATTCCTGGACCACCCTCACAGGCCGCACATACCATGGTAGTTACAGTATGCCAAAAGTGTCAAAACACCCATATTTTACACCCTTTTGGTGTTCTGCAGTAGCTCCAAAGTACTACAAGTCCCAAATGTGTGCTCTGGATGTCATTTTCCTGGATAAATAAATAAATTTGAGGGTCTTGGTAATTGGGGGAAGCAGGAACTGCTTGTGAATGAGACCTTGCCCATCCCTGCTCTAAGTGAGGAGCCTTCCCTGCCCCAATTAATCTTCCTCATTCAGTGGAAGAATTTCTTCATCCTTTGGCCTAGAAGACATCTCCAGTTTGATCCTGAATTTTGCACTGAGTACTAATGGGATCTTGAGACTTTGTAGGACAAACTAAGTATTGTTCTGTATCCTTCCTCCCTTCCTTTTATGGAAAGGAGAGGCCAACCCATGTAGGTTGGCACCCCTGTATTTTCTTTGTGCAAGAATAATTTACATGTAAATATC